TGACTTTGCACAGATCGGACCGGACAAGGGCGTTGAACAGGGAGTTCTTGCCAACGTTGGAGTTGTGGATTTTAGTGATCAGCTGTTCTACTCCGTAAGCGGTGGTGACCGAGATGAGCGACACGTGTTTGGTGTTATTTCTGGTGAAGCCAGCATCCAGGAAAGTTGTTCCGAGTGTTGTTCAGATAGCCGGGGCAGTCCCTTAGAAGAAGGTCGACTTTGTTCGCGATGACGATTATCGATCGTTTGGGTCCAAGAATTTCCGACAGGCCCGGCCAGATAGAGCACGGGAGATCGAGGAGATCCACCTGAAAGGGATTAGGGTTAACTACCCCATTTCCGGCCTATTAAGCACAACCCGCAATTAGTTTTCCTTAATCTAGCGCAGTTTGGCACCAAACGGAATGTTATTATTACTGATGGCTTCCAAATTTATTCACCTTTCCGTATGTACTGATATATTTGATAAAGAGAAAACAATCATTGAGATATTATCAAAAGTCTAACACTGCTTCTTGACGCCAAACTCGGCCTACGGATTCTAAACTCGGCCTAATGCATTGAAACGCCATTGAAACGCCAATGAATTCACTTCGGCCTGTCGGATGAAGATAAAATTTGATTCGGTCGGAGCGCTTCTTTTGTTTTTGGGAATAATGGGTACAAACCTTCATATCACGAGTTCTCATTGACTTTGTTCCGTAGCTTATAAACTAAAGTATCGTACCAAACGCATAATTGACTTGTTAAATCTGAAATCATGGATTTATTCAAAGTTTTCTGCTCGATAGGCCCAAAATGTTCTCTGCCCTACAAGAGGAATTAATAACATTTTTTTTTATTAAACAGAAGTCTAGCAAAATGGTACCAACCAGCAACAGGACGAGTGACTTCATATCCTTGATGGAGGATATAATCTCGATGTAATCTGGCATCTCGCAGATGGTTCATTACCAGTCTTCACGTAAACATGCACGGCGCTGAGCGTGAGTTCAAATTTCAGAAGTACAAGTTCATTCAAAGCGCGTGTTCTCTCTCAGGCTCATGTTTACACACGCACATCGAACTTGAGACTGGGGATGAGCGCAGCGTAAATGAACTCAGGCTTGATGTTTCGTGCTTGCGCCTGTGCTCGAACATCGAGGTTGCACTCGGAGGTTTTACGTGAATGGTTGGTTGGTGTTGGCGAGTGACTAGATGTTAATTGGGGCTTAACGTGTGTAATTTAAATAGAAATTTTGTCCGGTTTTGCGACAATTGTCAACACCAATATCTTTCTGACTGCGCGTTGCCAGTAAATCATTAATTAAAGATTGCTTTTAAAAGACTTAAAGTCAGTCAAGCATTGCGCAATGTTTATAATGTAGTTCAATTTTAATTTAGTAATAAAGAAGGATTGATAAAGGAAGTGGATGCAGTATTCCGAAATAAAGGAATGTCGGACAAAAGCTGCACACAAATTTGGAAAATGGTTGGTGGGTTGTTTTCTTCTATTATAGCTAAGTAATATGCTCATTTTATAGTTTCTATCTATCAATTGAAAATCAAAATAACAAATAACGACTGAACCGAATAGTCAACAAATCATTGAGCATTTGTGAGGACATTCGCAGCCAATGTTGCTCCAGCTTGATTGCCGAGAAGCACCGCTCAACTGAGACTTGCGTAGCTGATGCGGACAATAGAATCACTGATAGTGCATACAATTCTTCTTCTTTTTCGCATTCCAAGCAACCTAGTGTTCTAGATGCATTTTTATAGTTATTAATTTTGAGGTTTAAATGCCAGTCCCTCTAACATTTCGAGAATTTTCCCTACTTAAAATCACATGCTGTTCTTTCCATAAAATAAACATAATGTATATAGTGTAAAGTTAAATATAACTATGGAAACAAGTAAGCAGGTGCTTAAACATTTAGAATAATACTAGGCTATCTGAGGCCCCTGCAGTCACTGTGTCCCAACTGGTATCGCATAAGAATGTTATATGTTTGCCTCCGTAAATCGATGTTGCTACGTACCTCAATGGTTGTATTTGTCATTAAAATAAGTATATCCATTCACACAAGAAATATATAGTGCATTTCAAATAAGTCTGACCAAAATACAAATACGACCTATAAAGAGCTTTCTTATATAAATAAGCATTCTTATAGAAATCACCCCCATCAAGAAATTGTGCGAACAATACAACACAAAACTTTTTTTAGTTGCAATTTGCTTTGAGAATTTTTGAATGGAAATGGCTGCCATATGAAGTAGTGCGCGGATCACTACACTAAATATGCTTCTGCTGAAATATATATTTTTTAACTTTACAGTCTTACTTACCAACGATTACTTCTTGTGATAAAAGATATCTGAATATGAAGAGCTTTGTGTGGGTTGGTTTATTTCCTTTAAATTCCGTTATATTTGCTTATCTTTTGAAAGATACGCGTATTTCGTCTAATACTTGCGGACTTCATCAGTGCCAAGTACTCAACACCACTGTTGTTAAGTACTTGGCACTGATGAAGTCTGCAAGTAGTAGACGAAATACGCGTATCTGTCAAAAGATAAGCAATTATAACGGAATTTAAAGGAAATAAACCAAACCACTCAAAGCTCTTCATAAAGGGATTCCGTTAAGAGGTTCGACAAATTTAAAGGATATCTGAAGAGGTAAAGCTACTAAATCAGAGCCAACATTTCAAAGGGGCGTAATTGCATTTGTAAACAATGGCTTTAGCCGACGATATCTCGCGAATAAAAGCTCACTTATGAAAAATAATGACACCAATAGGTAGAGGAATGTTTCCTCTACCATCTAGCATTGTTATTTTGAAGGAGTGAGCTTTAAGATGCGAGAAATCGACAGCTAAAGCCATTGCCAGCAATTACGCCCCTATGAAATATTGGCACTGAAATCACCACTAAAATATTTCGTGTTCGACACACACCCCGACCATAAGGGAATAACACATTTATTACAGCTTGTGTTATTTTGTTTCACTATAATTTGTAACACAGCTTGTTACACTTAAGATCCCGGATGTAGTTAAAATAACAAAAAATGTAACAAAAATTTCCTTTAGATACAACAAAAATATATTTCACTATGTTACTTTCATAACAAAAACATAACAAATTTTGCAACACAATTCTGTTGTGCTATTACAAAATTATATCAAATCGTGTTATAATCATATATTTCACTTTGTAAATCAAAAACTCAGATTGATTAACAGAAATACAAAACATTATCAAACTCATAGAAAATATAATGCTTGAAAGACACAAGAAAAAATATATTTGATTTTTTATTGGGGTTTGGTCAATAATATCTGGTTGTGATAAAATCTTGTTAAGAATCAGTTACAAAATCATAAAAAAATCAATGCATTTAAATTTGTTTAAGATTTGTTATATTATTTTCTTGGTGATAAGTTTCCTTAACTTAATTACATCATAATCAGTTATCCATAACAAGGCTTGTTAGAATCTTGTTATTTTATTGTTATACCCTTCTGGTCGGGACACCACACGTTTACTCGAAAACAAAATGTTGGAAAAGAAACCAGCGTCTGCGCTTGGGTGCAAACATTGATGTTCGAGCGCTGAAGAAAACGAAGTGCGCGCATAAACTTTAAACATACGCTCGGGCTCATGTTCATTTGGCTGGGTGCATGCGTGAGCACAGAATGAATGTTCTTGTGAGTACGAAAACCTATTTGCTCACAAGCGCGATGCTGCACCTTGAAGACTGTTCATTAGCTGCTGCTTGGATTTATAAACAGCAACTGGGCAGGTACCCGGAAATGCACGGTTCGGCGAATTGCAGCAATGCACCACAGCCACTGCAAGGAATTTTAGAAACTGATTGCTTCGGATCTAGCGTTCCGTAGAAGGTCGTTCGATCGTCTTCTTCATCCTCTTCGTAGTACTCGTAATCGGACATCTGATCTCCGATTGTCGGTGCTGCTTCTTCCGTCGAGGAACATTCATCCCGGGGCACCCGTTCAATCATCCTCACTGATTTTTCTGAACTACGACGCTACTACTTTTAAATTTTTATGCGCACCTAACCTAATTTTATTCTGACAGTTATTTATGTGTCCGTCTTCGTTGACAGATATTTTAAGTATTTTCGGCTAAGCAAAATGAAAATGCCGTATAGTTTGTTATATTATTTTGCTGATTTCGGCAGTTTGAAATTTTTCCGATTTGATCAGTGATTACAATTGACGAAGCTTGGTAAATGATTGTTTTTACCGAAATTTGGCTAAAACCAGATAGGAATTTCAGTGAACTATTATATGTTTAACAAAAGTTCGGAAAATTTTCAGTTTATTGAACTGTTACGGCAATATATTTCACCGAGGACAGATTTTGATTTTAAGTGTGTAAGGGAGGCCCAAGCAATGATACATGTCTAAGAAGATTAATAGAAACTATGCGCATCAATTATGTTCCACTCGCACGAATATAAACTATTCAAGGTTCAGTAAATCGTTCTCCAAGTTCAGATCTTATGATTCAATTGATCATCCAGAAAAGGGACGATGGCCTTATCAACGGTACATGCCGTCTTTAAGCCTGATCGACTGATCTACTACCCAGGGCTTAACGATTTATGTCCACGTATTTGCAAAGACTCTGTGCACATATTTCAGGTTACGCGTCCACAGATGTGAGACATTCTAGGTTCCCTAAATCATATTCAAGTTCAACCGGGACTAAAAAAAAAAGATATGAATCACTCAGGGGTTCTTCCAATTTGTTCTTTGGGTTCCGTCGTGACGCATGCCAGTTTAATACCAATTTAACCAAAGTGAGCCCTCGAAGCAGAGGGTGAAAGAGGTTTATGATTCATTCACAACCACCGGCACAACCCGGCGAATCATGTTGTTGCCTTTTCATTACACAACCAAGGGAAGAAGATTTTCGCCGCTTAGAAAGTCATACCGATTTGCATCGTATCTATCGACAATAACCATTTGTTTTCTTCCACCTTCCAGACCGCCGGCTGTAAATTGCCATTCACAGGAGGTGGACGGGCACCCTGGAGAAAAACGCCGACGTCCGGCTGTAGGGCCGAGTAGTGCCAATTGAACAGACGTCGACAGGAGCAGCATCACTAGTAGAAGGAGGAACAAACCTGGAATTTTAGTACAAAACTCATATTCTACAAAAACACAAACACATAAAACAGCAAGATGCCTGTGTTCCACACGAAAACGATCGAGAGTATCTTGGAGCCGGTTGCACAACAGGTATGGATTGTGGAAACCACAGTTTTTCTTTCTATACATACATGGGATGTTATGCACAAGCATATGCGGGAGTTCTATTTTCGTTAGTTTGTTGATTTCCTTCCCCGGTAGACGCCCACAGTCTACGGTTTCAACCTTGTTCTTTCTTTTTTACCGCCGGCCGCATAAACAGCAGAATCATCTGTGTTTCCTTTCTTATAAATGTACAGGAATCCCCCGAATAGCGCTATTTCGCGGCAGTCCTTCAATTTTTTGTATGTGATTAGTCATCTGCAGAAAATCAGCTCAATTCGTCGGAGGACAGCCGAACCACCCACCGCGCTATTGGGGGGGGATCCCTGTAGTCAACTTGAAAAGTCGGGTGGTGGGCGATATATAGGTACGTTAGGTGGGGTGTGAAGAATGGCTTGTGTATCGAATGGACCTGTCGGTCCCCCCCCCCCCCTACCAGTGTTCAGAAGTAAACCATAAAACGGATTGAAAATCCAGTTTAAAATTAGATCGCAAACATATGCGATGCGTCGCCCAGTTGAGCGATGGAACTATGTATCGGATTTGTTTTTCCTCTATTTTCCTGTACGTAAAAAGTTCATGTGGTATGCTTTACCGTACAACTCGTATTAGTAATCATGGCGTCTGGAAGCTGTAAATGTTACTCAGCTGGTATTTGGTAGCTGACGTAAGGCTTAGTGTACGTTTTATTGGATTTAGATTGCAGTTAGTTGCTTTGATAATTGATGTTTTAACGATGTCTACATAAAAAGGACAGTGTTGTCACGGCTGATGGCCATTGGTGCTTCATTTTGAAAAAAAAACATCAACCCCTACACATGGCTTGCTATGATCTTTTTACCGAACTTTTTGTTTAAAATTGACTTTCAGCATCGTCGCTTTCAAGAACTCTCGCATAATATTTCAAAGGGGCCTATCATCTTTTGTAAACAAAACTTGTAAGCCCTTAATCGCGCAAACCGAAATAAGCCCATAAACCAAGAACACTATCGGGAAGGGGTGAATTTTAGTTCCCACGTAATTGGCCTTACAAGTTAATATATTTTATACCGTAAGGTTGCCATCCACCGCTCAGTTAGTCTCCCTTCACCGCACATTGTATGATTATTTTTATCATTGTTCTCTTAACTTTATAGCAAATGATGGTCAATGATACTACTGGTATTGATTGTAATTATATTATACGTACGGTATTTGTTGTGAGCGGTAAAGACTTTATGTTATTTCCAAAATATTAATATTGGATTTGAGCCTAATTAACTAAGCCTGTATGAAGTCTGAGCAGTTTTGTAACACGCTCAATTTGAAACTTTTTTCGTAGTAAACGGATTTCAGTGAAATATGGTGCATATAAAAGATCGTTGATGTTACTACAAATAAGCAAAACAAAAACAAAATGTAGATCAAAAAGTAGGGGAAATGACGGCTTCGGCATGACAGACTATTTTCGGCAACCCAAATTGAAACACTATTTTCACTGGATTTTCTTACGAAAACACTTCGCTGAATGCATGCAAACGATTCTTTATGCTTTCAGCTTCAATTTGACTATATTTTTACCACTGAGAAAAAACAATCTAGCAGGGTTTTCTTGAAATGAAACACGCACTACAAATTGTAGCTGATTTCGAGTTGCGGATAATAGAACAGCAGATTTACATGCAGTTCAAATGGAACGGTTGCCGAAGAAAAACTGGTTGCCGACAATACTCGCTCTCACTAGAGAAGATTGGAGCTTTGTAAAAGCGTTTCAAAACAATTCTTTCGACTGAAATTGTTAGAGCAGCTGGCAGCAAAAGATTGTAAACAAACCAATACTGCATATATGTGCGTTCCATAGAGAAAAAGGCTATAGAAAGTAGGTCGCTGCTTAGGTTGCCGAGAATACGTAAATTCCCCTAGTAGTTATTTTGTAAAAGGGAGTTTTCATTGAATCGATCGAACTTCAAACATACGGAACCAATCAAGCACAAAACTATACCAAGCAATCGTTAGTATTTGATGAACTCGCCATCTATGGATGGTTTAATAATTTCGTTCAGTTCAATAAAGTATTGTAAATATCTGTCACTTCGATGCACATAAATGGAGCGTCATATATCATACAAATTTACATGGTAGATCTTTCAAGTTTCTAGTTTACGTGAAAAGGATGTTTACATGCATGAATGTTCGCATGCATGGATATTTACATCAACAGTAAAATTCTGAATTTGTTTAAAAAATTACTCAAGTCTCCTTACCCATCAAGTGAGCTAGGCAAAGAAGTGTGCATTTGATCAGTATTATCGCATCAATGACCCTTCGCTCAATTTCAACTCCTGTTCAATTTACAAACTGCCGTACTCTAACGGGACTATCAATCTATCCTCTTCAGAACTTTCTCTATCTAATTCATTATCGCACTAAAGCTTCATGTTGATATTAGTATCAGCACTTTCTCCTAACTTTATAATTTGTTTATTACTGAGGATGCGCAGCAATATTTCAAATCAGTTTCCTAGTACACATCCGCATTTATATTTGAATATTTTAAACACGGCATAGAATACAATATACGGTACTGTATAAAAATGACCAAGTGGTTGTAATCGAATATAATCAAGCGATCTATTTAGTTGAAATGTACATCCGGCTTTCAGCAAAAATAGTCCTTGTAGCGTTGCAACTGAGGATAATTTTATTCAAATATCGAACAGAAAAATTTGCACCTAGTAACTTTTGTATGCGGGAAATAATTGAGATTAATGTGTGAAAGTTTCAAAGTGTATGTATGCGATTTTCAGAGTTGGGTGGAAATGCTATCTAACATGAAGCTTTTTGTGTGATAATTTTTTAGCTAGAGAATGGTCTTGGAAGAGAGTAGGTAGATAGTTCCGTAATAGTACGGCAGTATGAAAATTGAATAGAAGTAGAAAATGAGCGAAGGGGCATTAATGCGACAGTGCAAGTCAAACGCACACTCTTTGCCTAACCCGTACGATGTACGCGGAGATTTGAAGCATGTCTTCAAATCTACAGGCAAAAAGTGTGCGCTTAACTTTGCTCAAATACTGCCTGCGGCTGTGGAATAGTTCTAGCGACGTGTCATCACTACCGAAAGCCCCGCGTTGCCGAAAGCATTTCCAGTCGATGGTGTGTTATAATGCAATTCTTGCCCACGTAACATCTTCGGAAAGAAAAGAAAAGAAAAGATCGTTCTTTTGGCGTAGCTGGTGACTAGGGTGGTCCTCTTTTTCCTATATTATTTAAAGTTTAAAGGAACACTTGCTTCTACAAAATTATGAATAATTTAATTTCAAGCAACTTTTCGGAAAAATAAATCTATCTCATCAACATATCATTCTATGCACATTTTTTGAAATTTAGTTAGGAAAATAAAAATAAAATGACACTTGAAAACTGACAAAAATTGTAGAACAAGGTCTTTTAGTAAAATTTTTGAACTTTTTCCTCGTAGGATCTTTTCACAGGAAATGCTTTAAAATGTCTCAAGGGGGGATATCCTCACCATCCCTCTCCAACTGGGGAGTTTGATAAAGAGAGATGATCAACCCGATTTATACCTTCCCCAAAGTTGTCATTGCTCGCTTTCTACTCTCTATATACAATTTTCACACTGCCGTACTCTAACGGGATCTATAAACTCTATTTATTTATGACTAAACATCAACAGGCGTCATTGGCCCCAATGATGTAACCTAAACTAAACATCAAAAGTACTAAAACTAAACATCAATAAGTCAATAGACATCTCGTAAAAAAAGGAACATTGCTAGACAAACTAAACTGATCTAGAAAAAACGAACTAAACCTCCGGCGAAGCAGCTGGCAAGTCAGGTCAAAGTCAAATATTGCGGAGACCCTATGGAAGTATCTGTAAACCACCGATTGCGCTGAACATGCTATAATTAGTTCGCTGTATGGGCAGGCGCAGCATTGGATTATTCCGTAGGGCTCTGGGTTGAACATTGGTGTCAATTTGCTCAAGGTGAACAGGGCAATCGGTGCGTCATTGCAAAATATCCGCAATCAGCAATGCCCTTGATGTATCTCTTCGGACCAACAGGGGCTCCAGATGGATCAGTTACAAACGACTTTCGTAGCTAAGCAATCGGAAGGGATCCGTCCACGACAGTTTACGTAGCGCATATCTCAGGAACCGTCGCTGAACAGACTCAACTCGTTCGACACCGTTGTTGTTGTGAAGAATCCAGACAACCAAGCAGTATTCTAATATGGAGCGAGACAAGGAGCAGTACAAAGATGTAAGGCAGTGGATATCCGTGAAGTCTTTCGACACCGACTTCCTGAAGATAAACTCTAGAATTCTGGAAGCTTTGTCGACGGCATACGAGATGTGCTGCTTGAAAGAGAGTTGTGTATCCAGAATCAAAACTAGGTCCTTAATTTTGCTGACGCGCTTAATTTCTGTGCATAACAAAACATACTTGAACATAATAGTCTCTTTCTTGCGCGAAAAAGAGATAACCGAGCATTTGGACGGGTTAACCTCCATATGATACAGAATACACCAATCACCAATAGTATTCAACTGACGTTGAAGGAAGAGTTTAAGGTCATCTGCGTGAGTTAATCGTGGTTCCTCAATTACTAGATTAACGTCGTTGAAGTAAATCAAGAAAATCAGTGGTCCCAGGTGACTACCCTGAGGTATGCTTAGAGATGAACTAGCCTAAGGCTAAAAATCTCTTTAATAAAGAATTAAAAAAAAAAAAAACCTGAGGTATGCCGGACGTGGCAGTGAACATACGGGACTGGTGATCACCAATGACAACAGTAAGATAGCGATCGGTGAAAAACGACTGAAACCATAGTAACCATAGCGGTGATTCAATTTATCGAAGGCTGCATATAAGTCAGTATAAATGACATCCGTCTGAGCACGATCCGACATACTGTTAGAGATGTAGGAAGTAAGGCACAGCAAGTAAATGGCAGTGAAGCGACCAGCCATGAAGCCATGC